GTGATGGCGTCTGGCGCAAGATGTACCCGCTTACAGGGCATGAGAAGCACTTCACTTGAGTCCTGAGGAACTGAAATTTAGTGAAGCGCCCCCTCCCTCCATTTAAATTCGGTGGCTCCACCCAAGATGGCACTAGAAGTCGAAATTCTGTGGTGGTGTCATGAGCCCTCTGGACTCCTTGAAGTTCAGTTCAAAGACTGCTTCGTTATGGGTGGATAAGAATTAAGCGCTGGCCACAAACAAAGCATACCATCAGAAAACATAAGTCATGACCATAAGTTTGGGGCACGATTTTGAATGATCAGAGTGTATTTTCAGATGCAAATGGAAGAAAAGAAGGAAAATAGGAGAAAAAGAATAGCAGGGAGGTTAACCAGCCCATAGGCAGCCGGTTTGCTACCCTGCGCATGGCAGGGGGATAGAGGAGATGAAAGATAGCTTATAGAATTCTTAGTGTGCTGCTGGAGGCTTGTTCAATTCTGGTTGAGCAGTTAGAATGTTTTTTTTTCTGGCCAATGTTCTTTTTTTTTCGCAGCAAGGGCAACATTGACTTCAATTTCGGCGTTTTGGTGCGGCTGGCCCCTGGCATTATTGTTTTGGCGTGCCATGTTAATTTCTTGCTACCACATTATTGCCACATCTTTGGAGCCGCTGTAACTTTTATTTAAAAATGCTGAACTATGCGTTTTTTTCACCTTAAAGTGAGAAACATGCACTATACATCACTTTCTAGGGCCTCGCTCACAAATTCAAATGTTCTTTGCCAATCAAACTACTTTTTTGTAAAAAAAAATTGTCGTTGTTCCACCTATTCTTTTGACTGGTTCTGATATTTTCCGCTCTGTATGAGTCTTGTACGCTCACATTTCAGATGTAAAGCTTTTTATGGCCTTGCTCAATCCGGTGTGCGTCGTGACAACCTTTACTGAGCATGCACGTCCCCTTCTCCTCTCTCTTCTCTTCTCCTCCACTCTATATTGCTTCCCACCGTTTACGCAGGCAGCGTCTGCTAACGTCCCCCTCTCCTCTTGACATCCCTCCCCGTGGCGCTTCCACACCCACAGTGCATTCAGCCCCCTTCTTTCTACGCCAACTAACGTGACCGTTAGTTAAGTATTTGCAGGAAACACCAAAAAAGGACAGCATGCAGCAGCACACTATTGCATCGGGCGCATATCCATCCTGCGTTCTTCGCAGGGCTTATGCTTGCAACAAATGTGTGCTGGACTTTATTTACGTGAATGCACTGGAAAAGAACAAGAACGCGCTCACGAGAAATCGACGTATCACGCTACGTTTCTCACGCGAGTTCCAAAACTTCGTGGCGGAATATGTTCCATTTGCTTAGGCGAAAATTCTTTGTTTCATCTCACGACCAGGTCTTCGCGGGCAGTTTTTTTTTTTGTGCGTAGCATTGTTGCGTTCACACGCATGCATAATGTGGAGTATAGAAGGCAACGCAATACGATATCCGTAATAAAAGCGGGGAAAAACCTGAGAGCAGGGTTATAAAAAGCTGCAAGGTATATAGAAAAACATGACGAGATATATTCGATGGTTCTGTTTTGCGAGAGCCTCGAAGCGACGCTTTCTGTGATCGATGCACTCAGGAAAGTGGCTACTATCGTATGTATAGCCTATACCTGCACATTACAAATGGCGTGGGTTTTTCGCACTCGTCAGCACAGTATTACGAGGTCATGCAGAAAGTTCAATGCTATTTATTGTTTATTTTTCTTTTATTTTCGTCTTTTTTTGCGCCCCGTCCCTTTCTAGGCCACTTCCAGTCGCATGCTGAAATCAACTATACGTGTGGTGTTCCGTTTGTTACCGAAAAAAATAGCGACTTAAAACAGAGAGAAATAAGAAGGAGCCAAAAGTAAACAAACCGGATGGCTACAATGGCGGGCAGCCCGTAGTGCGAATCACTTCCCTCAAATTATCGTGAAAGCTACCGCATCCGTTGGCTGGTTTTTTTTTTTCAATTCTTGCTTCCTCCGCGCTCACCGTGAAGTGCAGAACACTCATATTTGCTTATTTTATCCTTTTCTATCTCCCCTTGAGAATGGAAAACAAGACACTATATTTCAACCTCAGCGCTTGTCCTTCCATTCACCGCTCACTCACGTGGATTTAACAGCGCAGCTTTTCTAGGGCTGGCTCTGACGACAGACGAGTGTCCGTATCACATGTCACACTTCCGTTTTCAGATACAGCCATAGATGTCGTAACTGCCACAGCCGTGAAAAGAGCGAGAAAGTCCAACGGGTAATGTCACTCGAGCGTGAAAATGGCCTGAAGGCGTCCCACGAAAACCGTTTCGCAGATACACAGATGGATAGATGGCCAACTGTCTCGGTCGCGGATAAAGCAGTAGCCGACCATGTCACACAAAGAAGGGCCGCTCGAGTGAGCAGGAGGCCTAAAGTCACTTAAGTGGGTGGCAGGAATTCTGAAAATGCGTGTGGCAGTCGATTCATGATGCCATGTATTCTTTTGATGTGTCCACTCTACGGTGATTTCAGAACAAATGTTAAAAGGCCCGTTTAAGCGTTCCGGACATTCGCGAACAACAGCCATGGAGGAGTGGTCCAATTTCAGCCAAGCAACGTCATCGGTGGCATTGACAACAAGTTGCATGGCACAGGGAACAAAATTTGAAAATCCTACGATTTATAATCTGTTCAATGTTGTCTCTCTCTTCCTTTCGTTAAAGAATGAAGGGATAAACCAGAAGTAAGGAGGAGGAGTATGCAGAGGGAGGGAATGCAGGAAGGGTAACCAGACAAGCGTCCGGTTTGCTATGCAACACTGGGGTAATGGCATTGAGGGTTGAAAAGAGAGAGATACAAAGAAGAAAACGTTAAAAAAACACGTGAGCCTAAACTAGACTGCTGCTATTGATAGTAGTCAACTCAGAACTTGAGGTTGCAGTTCGTGATGCCTACCGAAGGCTTGCAGGCACCGGACGTAGAACATAGAAGTCTATAACGACACTCGCGCTGTTCAGCTACAAACACTAGCCCCGTGAAATTATGAAACGCTGAAAGGCATGTATGTTATTTTTTGTGCACGTCTGTCGCTTTCGCCCTTTATTACTGCATTGCAAAAAAGGTATATCATTGGGCAATCAAAAAATTTGGTGACGTTGATAACAAGCCCGATATGTCACATCGACATTACATTTACATTTTGTTAGAACGGGTGTACATTACCAGGTGCCTTATACTAATGAGAATAACCATTGCGGGAACGTTATCTTTAATATATCCTCTTAACATTGGGTTATTATTCGATGCTATAGCATATCATTCTCGTTCAGTGGTTGCTTCAATGTACATTTTTTGTTTACTTGCAACATTCTAAGCCTGCTCTTAGAGAATGGAAGCGTACTGTTCCTCACTAAAGCCCACATTGAAATAATTGAACGGGCAGACTTTGTAGCAACACGATGTGAGATTTAAACACTAAACTATAAGCACCCCATTACAGACTAGGTTGCAAGCGTGAATAATCTACAGGGTAGACAGCCAGTCAGCGAACTCGCTAACCTCCTTGCCCTTCCTATTCTCTTCCTCCTGCATCATTAATTTCTAAGCGTCATCCACCAGGGTTCCGAAGCCTTTACTTACGTTCATACATTCGTAATTGCATGTGTTTACTGAAGCTTCCAGCTACTATGATATTCAAACTCCGAGGAGAAGCGCACGACCGGATGAATGCTATTCAATCTACACGTACAGCTTTCAGACGCGTGGCATTTCACTTACTCTGATATGCGAGTGAAATATCTGAGGCGAGTTGGCAACATGACCTGCTCGGTGTAGCTGCGTGTGCTGTCAGCTCTGGTTCAGTTAGAATTGTGTACTTGGTCGTGACACTTTTGCTGTCAGATATTACTGTGTACGCGTTCCAACTGCTTGCCTTAGTTTTTAAATAGTTTATGGCAAACTATAACCTACGACAGGCCGTCAATTTGTTGCGGGATAATAATACAGTCAGACACCTGGTTTCCGTCTTCGATTTTGAAACTTTTAATATGATTGGTTAGTCTTCGTGTGCTCTCCTCAGTTTCCCGCAGCATTACACGATTCAAAACTTGCGTTTCAACAACGGCTTCAATTGCGGCTAAGAAAAATTATCTGCAGTGACAACAGCAATGACAAAATAATTGCATTTTCCCTTCAATGCGTATTCTTATTGTAAAGCAGCAGTTTTGCTTTTTTTTTCAATTGTGTGACATAGAGCCTAGAAGAGCCAGCGATCAATGATTAAATAAAAACATTGATCAAAGAAGCGTACTCCAGTTCACATTCCTGCTACAGCAAACAGCAAATAACCTCTCATATGCTGCTGTAGAATAAAATGGTCACGTGGTTATAAAGGTTTGCCCAAGCAGTTATTGCACAGAGGTTGAGCAATCCACAGCGGATGCTGACATTAACTTATCAGTCATAGTGGCTTTTTCTCCCTCCATTGGCAACCAAACATCGACCTGTTTTGTGTTGGCCATAAGTATGCAATGATACGATAAACATGGTGAGACTGGTCTCTTTCTGTTGCGTACAACCAAACATTTTATATAAGAAGAGACATGTGTTTCCAGAACGACCCCGTATATACATTTCGCTCAAACCATGTATAGACATATACAAAGATTTAAGACATGACGTAGTGCAAATGTGGGCTAAACGTTATTGTTATCTTGCCCAACTTCCACAATGACAATTACTTTTTCCTCTTTTGGGCTTGCAGGTACAATACAAATGAGCAGGCCAACAGGCGCATGGGCTATTTCTACATCTACCATATAGCAGCTTTGATCCCACCATGAAAAGCACAATTTTGCCGTCATGAAGTTTGCAGCCAAATACTACTGCCCAATACACTCCGAGCGCCCCTGTGGAGAACGTAGAATAAGCCCTTCGTGTAACACAGTTCATTCACAACGGCAGCGATTCGGTGGATGAAGGTGAATACGGACTACCTGCCCCTTTGTGATGACTGAAGCAGAAGCCTTCGACGCACCCACAGAAGACCCTCACCCCGGCCATGACACGCTGGACAACGTTACTGCACTCCTAAACAACGTCACCAATGCCGTGGTCACGGAGGGAGTGATGGGACCTCGCTATCACAAGCGGGTTCGCATAGGTATCATCATCACTATGATCATTTTGTCTGTGGTGGGCAACACTGTCGTCTGCTGCAACCTCCTCGTGAAGCAGCGCCGGCGGCGGGTGTCCAAGGCGCGAGTTCTCTTTCTCAACCTGGCCGTTGCGGACCTGCTGGTGGCTTGCATCACGATGGCGTCACAAGTTGTGTGGGAAGTGATGGGTCGCCTATGGATCGCTGGAGACGCCTTCTGCAGGTTCTTCAAGTTCTTGCAGACCTTCGCACTCGTCTCGTCCACCTACATGCTCGTGGCGATCGCGATAGACAGGTACATCGCCATCGCAACGCCACTGGCACCGAGCACAGACCCATGGAAGCTGGCTGCCCTCACGTGGTTGACGTCTTGCATGCCGTCACTGCCGAACGTTTACGTTTTCCACAGCGTCGAAGTGGCACCCGGCAAGTGCTTCTGCGCGTCCATCTTCTACGACCGCGACACGCCGCTGTACCACCGCCAGATATACATGGGGTTCGTGTTCTTCACGGTGTTCGTCGTGCCTCTCGTGCTGCTCATCGCGTTCCACGCGGGAATACTGTGGGCCATCTGGAAGCACAGTGCGACCAATCGGAACATGAGCCGGCAAACCACTTCGTCGCTACCTCAAGCTAAGGTTTGTATTCAGCGTAGCTGGCTGTGTGGTCTTAAGGACGTTGCATGCACTATGATCCCGAAGATCTGGGGCAAAAGAGCAAATATGTCTACTTCAAGAACAAAGTATAGATGGGCCAACAAAACATGCTATCGTAATTACTGTGTAGCGCAGACGTGACACGGGACAAGGAAAAAATCGTGCACAGGACAAGCACCGCAGGAAAAAAAACACGCAGTACCTTAGCTCAAGGGCCCACAGGCCACGTTATGAGGACAGGACACTGAAGTATGTACGTATAAATTTAGGTTGTCCCAGTCTAAAGCTTAGGTATGCTTGACATAAATGAGGGCATTTACTAACAGATAACTTAAAACTAATTGAAGAATCCGTGAAGAGGGGTTGTGTCAAGCAGACGTTTCGACAAGTGGACTTGTCTTCGGCTAGAACAGAACATAAGTTTCAACCTTGCAGTGAAGTGGAGTGGATGGGTACAGTACACTAAGTAGTGGCCGCTACTCGAGTACAATGTAAACGACATAGAGTGAGTGATTTTTCAGTTCGTTACAACACGTACGCGCCACTGCGATGAAGTTTTCTTGGCAATAAGGGTTTCACGATGCTGGGTGGTGCTCAGTTGTTATGATGACTACTACGAAAGGCCCTTTCGCGGCGTTACGCTATCTTGCCATTATATAAAGAAACATTACGTTTCCTTACTAGAACGGAACACTTCTTTTACGGTGAGCATTTTTTCATTTCACAACTGCAAATATAAGAATGCTACTTGGTGAACAATTACGTCTTCACTATCCCAAAATAAAAAGAGAATTGTGCGGAAATCGATTACAATGATTTATACTTTATCGAATGGGCGAGGGCTGTCGAGAAGATTTTTGCTTGATTAAAAAATTGAGCGTTTTTATCTTTGCGCAGGTTTTATAGGCAATGTATTTACTTGGCGATTGTTTTATTGCAGTAGTAGCAAAACTCGGGCTATAGCTATATAGTTATTAAGACTTCTCAAGACACCACTAAAAAAAAAAGACAAGGACGAAGGGGCAAAGGTACGCACTTGTATCTGTATCATATTTCCTTCTTTCGTAGTTTCTTTTTCAGCTCTGTACTTTAAAGTCCTCGCTTCATTCAGTTATATATAGACGACTCCTTGCCCTGGAGCTCGTCAGTTGTATAGCCAGTGTGCCTAAAAGCACTAATTCACCATATATGTGATGCATTCAGAGTCGTGGAAGCCAGCGTGCAAGGTGGTTGCAACGCTTCAGCAGTATGCTGAAGGGCTCTTCGCTTCCGAAAGTACTGTACGGAAGTAGCTTCATATAGCCGCCGGTGACATGCCGGTCTGCCAGCACTTCCTCTGTACAATCAGCTTACGTTTAAATAGATAATAGCTGACATAGCACGCCGCACCTTCTCTCCCGCTTCCGCCACATAGGAAGATATATGTAAGAGAACAGAAGGGCCATTCTTGCAGAGCAATACCATCTCAGCATTCAATATTATGACTCTCCGAAGCTCTTGTACACGTAAAACGAGTACGTTGCTGGAACTTATAATAGATGAGGTTCGCTAATGAACTTGGGCGAGTCATAGTATATGAGTGCTTTCGTGGAGGCCGCGGAAGTCCAACTACCCGGACTAGGCAGAATTGCAGTTTTGCTTGCACTCGGGCTGGTTGTAAAAAAATCGAAAGACAGTTCCTAATCTCTAGACCTCATATTCCCTATAGCTACCGTAGCAGTGGATATTATTTAAACATGTGTTATTTTACATAGAATAGCTCCTACGTTATAGCATGCTAAATATCTAATGTATGTACTGATCGTGGAAGTTTGACACCAACTTGATCCACCCGACCCTACTTCATTACCTCTTTTCTTCTTTTCTCACAATTATCGTTTCCGTACCTTACTTTTTAGTTGACTTGCATGCCCACCACTACGCATGAGAATTTTTCGAAAAAAAACGTATACAAATGAAAGCGTTAGTGGGACAATTGTGATGAAGTTCTTACGTGGTTGAGGCGCCTAGGCGTTTTTTTTTTTTTACTGAAGGTTTGTCTTTGAAATTTCTGTTGACATGTTGCATACTCCGAACACAGCTTCAGTGGTTCCTTATTTACTTCAATCATCTGGTTGTTTCCAGTCGCAAATTAATAAGCCCAATTCTTTTTTTAGTCTTTTTCATTCACCTCCCCCCCCCCCTTTTTTTTTTTGATCAGCCCACGGTACTCGGCTGGTCTACCAGTGCTGCAGCCTGTCTCATTCTTCTCTCCTTTTTTGTATAATAACTGTCACTTTAATGGCGTACGCAGGTGAAGACATTGAAGATAACGGCCGTCGTTTTCGGTGCCTTTCTGGTGACAAACGTGCCGTACATGGTGCAAGAGGCAATCCTGGCCTTCGGCAACCCAGGTATCCTGGATGCCAACATGGTGGCGCTCTTCGGCGTCATCTCGGCTTCCAACAGTGCCATCAACCCGTACATCTTCCTCTACTTCCAGCGGCCACCCAGGGAAGTTGACGATGATGCCGGCTTTTGGCGGACCGTGGCTCGTTTCATCCTCGAGTCACTCACTTGTCGCCTTCTAACCCGGTCTCGCGCAGGATCTCAAATGTCCACGGAGGACGCTAGCCCCTCGATGCGCCAGTCGAAGGTTTCTATTAGAAGGAATGGCAAACCGACAGCTACGGACACACCACCCAACATGAAGAGTCGTTCCATGTGCTGAACGAAACACATGTGCGTCATCATCTACTCATAGCGACGGTGCTGACAAGCGCGATTTTCATAGAAAAACCACCCCTTTTGAAGAATCTATAGCCGCTAAGTGGAGGTAACAGCACAAAACTGTGCAGTTGCTTGTCTAGTGGGACGCCGGAGCAAACCACTGTAAACAGTGCTGGAAGAAGCGGCATGTGCTTGTCGACTACGACGCTCTCGAGGAAACACCAAGTTGCACAAGCGCGGCAGTCACCACCTTAAGACTTGGTTTTTCAGGACAGAGCGACGTGCATCTCTGCCCTGTACTGGCTGCGCTGACGTCGGCGGCACCGATTATTTCATTCGACTATGCCCGCAGTTGGACACGCAGAAACAAGCGATGGTCGGAAGCCGTCAGAACGGTGGTCTGACGCATCGCGCACTCGAAGCCCGCAGCAGTAAAAAGCAGCGACGGTTCTTTGCTTCTTGTGAGACACAGCACTGTTTAAATCCTGGTGTCACAGCCCTACTATCAATGTGAAAGAGGCTTAGGTGGAACACTTGGTGGCTTTGTCTGGCAAGCTGACACCGCCTGCTGCAACACCACCGTCACTACTACAACCAAAAGAGTGAAATGTAAATATTGCCGCGTTCAACGGGAGGCTCACTCTTCTTAATGGTGTGCATATTCTTTTTCTATACAAACATCCCATTGTGATCTTCCCGAAAGAGTCTCTGTATGACTTTTCACTCTCCCATCTCGTCATTATTATTTTGATTTTCTTTTACGGTGAAAAGGGTAAAAATATATCTTTGCATTGAAGATGTGCTATTCAAGAGAGTGCACAAGTCGCTTTTTCGGATACAGGATGTTAGGTATAAGTTTACTGTGCACCATGCTCTGAGAGATATAAAATGGTATTTGTCACAGGGTATTTTACAAACACGTAATAAAGAGGGAGTTAAAGGGAAGTCATCACTCGTGGAGTAATTCTGTGTTGATATATTCTTCAAAGACTCCCTCTTAGTTTGAAAGGTCCCAAACAGGCACAGCAACAAAAATGACTCGTCAAGTGTGCTGGTTCTTACGTAGAACATTACAGGCTCGCACCATTCGTAGTATCTAGTGACCAAGCATTAACAAAGCCGTAATTTCTCAAGTGAGTGTGGGATATGCACTTGCCCATGACATTCAGGGTTTCTCAGCGTTACAGTTCTGGGAAGGTGGTGGTCATGTTTCTTCAAAAGAACCACAATCACGCTGTAGAGACGGAATCACACGCGAAATACGACTCAACGCCAACTGAATACAAAGTCTTTGTTATCGTTCTGTAAAAAAAAAAATAAACGTATACATGCGCGGCAGAACGTGTGTTTTAGTCAGACGGAAATGATAGCTCATTCTGAAGGAGTGTCAAGGATGGCTCAATCTTTCTCACATCTCCCAACTTGGGATTGCGATGAAGCTTCTCAAACCTAAAGGGGTCGTTCTCTGGGTAGATCGAGGAAATGGCAAACTTACTAAAGTTTTTCGCAAGCGGAATCTATGGAGTTTGCAGACATATAGAATCTTCACATGACTGAATTGATTTATTTATATGTGTGTTTAACGTCCCAAAATCACCATATGATTATGAGAGACGCCGTAGTGGAGGGCTCCGGAATTTCCGACCACCTGGGATTCTTAACGTGCTCCCAAATCTGAGCACACGGGCCTACAACATTTCTGCCTCTATTGGAAATTCAGCCGCCGCAGCCGGGATTCGACTTCACATGACTTGTTCCGTATATACACGCATGAGGTTCTTTACGTGGAAGTTAGATGGACAAACAGAGGATCACCGGCTGGAGGGAGGTTGGGGGCGGGGGACAACTTGTTTATTACGTTGTTACGGCACTTAAAAGGCTAATTTGTGTGCTTTCTTTCGCAACTTCTTTTTGCGCTCTCACTGTTGGTATGTTGCATAGGGAAAGGGCTCTATGCCCACTCTGTTGACAATGTTTCTAAAATTGCACAATATAAGACTGTCCTAGATGTATAAGATGGCTGGTACTCTACAAGGAATGAAAAAACTCCCAAGCATTTCCCCGAGAGTGAACATGGTTAAGTGCGAATACACGGGGTGATGCTATGAGGGGTATTTATTAATTCGCACTATTATATTTATTAATCACACTATGGTGCCTTTATGGTGTAATGGTTCCTGGGAATCGCAATTTGATCACACGGGGGAGTTTACGTTAACTCACTGGCGAATGCCAACGGATTTTAACTTTACTCCCCCTCAAGACCCGCTCTCGACGGGAGACTGAGAGAGAAGGCGGGCGCGCGAGAGAGAGGGGTGCGCGCGCAGCTGCAGCGAGCGAGGAGAGCGGAGGAGCGAGCGAAGGGGGAGGGGGTATAAGGCGCGTTACTGACACCGATATCAGCGTCGCGTCCGTGGCTTGTTCGGTAGAGCGTCGCGCTGCGGCCCGCCAAGTCCTCTTTCTTTTAAAGATAGAGAGAAGACTGCGGACGCCGCCGACGGCGGTGGATGGTTTGGGGTCGCCTATAAAGTGTATTCACACTTAAAAAATAATAAACTACCAGGGGTGATGCATGTGATGGCGAGTGATGCCCAGTGAAGACGACTGCATACACCAAGCGTGCGATCCAACTGAACAAAATTTGGATTGCAGCAGTTATCCGATAAGTAAATGTGATATTTCTTCCTCATATATCTAAACAATGTATACATAAATCAGTTTTATGCTGTGCAGCGTTGTTATATCCGTGTCAATCGTGTAAGGCACGCCTATACTTGTAAATTTCTGAATTATGATGACTTGGTTCAATGGCATTACAATTAACGCACAAACATAGAGAGAGAGAGAGAGAGAGAGAGAGAGAGAAAGGAAACGCATGAAGGTCATCTTGGTTGCTATCCTGCGCCGGGGCATGAAGAAAGGGGAGAAAAAAATAGAGAAGGGAAAAAGGAAAGAGATAACAAGTGAAAGTGCACCCATATGTCCGTGTTCACCGCACTCACTACGACAGTCACAACTTGGGTGTATTTTAGACCACTTTCTCTGCAGCTATCTAAAAGTAAACTACAATCCTAAAATTTTCACAAAATTCTTGCAAAAGCTGGTTACAGAAAATTCAAAACTTGCCGTGCGCACAGAGCGGATGGAGTTGTCATTCAATTGAGGAGAGTGTGCATTGTGGTCACAAGAGACCTGAACAAAGCAAGTACTTACCGGTTTTCGTGACGGAAATTATCTGTGGACGATGATGTACGCTGCGGGGCATTCTGCGCTGGCCCTTTATGAGGGTGCAGGGGTGGAAGTGAGGGCCACACGACATCCGCCGCCACTTTCGAAGCCTCTGTACTTTTCAGGCTCTCTGACGGTGATGCATGGGGTGGTGGTGGTGGTGGCATCGGTGGTTAGTGTGGCTTAAGGGAAAACTCATGGACTGTCAGAGAAGGAGATCGCGTTATCCGTCCAGGTTGGGCAGCAGTGGACCCAGACAATCGTCCCCGACGCGAGCGTTGTTTTCTACTTCTCCCAATATGAGCGGCTTCTTAGTGCGTTGATTCGTTACGTATCATCTGTTTCAAGACACTCCGTTCTTTTCTCACTAATGAACAGCCTTTTAATGACGCATCATGTGATCCATGGCAGTTGGGACATTTCAGGGTGGTTGCACGGCAGTATTCTGCATTGTGTGGCTTTGGCCTGCGGGGTCAAGTTACCACGCTCCTGCAAACTCCGCTCAGATGACTCAATTTTCGACATTTATGACACTGGACTTATCTTGGTGTAAATTAAAGGAACACGTGACGAAACTGACCCTCCTTCACATGGGATGGCAATGCATCACCTTTGAAGACAATCTTTGTGCAAAGCGAGTTACCCAGCCGTAAGACTTGGGCGATGTTTCTGTCCACACGCGTAGGAGGGATGAAACACACTTACAAGGAATGAATAAAGAAGCGGGGAGAATGCAGCCTGACAGCTCCCACAAATAAGAGCATATAAGCTGCCTACACTCTTGAAGCAAAAAAAAGAAGGGGCAAGCATGCGAATAAGGGTGCAGAAAATAACCAAATGGCAAAAAAGAAAAAATCTTAAGTACGGACACACAAGAAAAACATTGCGCTACATAATGGGAACCGTGTCAACACGGTGGGGAAAAAATACTATCAGGGCGCGACGGCCTTGGTTACTTCTAGAAGCACATTCAGTCGGAAATAAACGAATCGGGAAAGTCGTGCACCTTAGTCGACCCAAACTTGCAATTTAATTAGCCATCTGGGAACCCATGACGCACTGAAACTTTGCTGTGTCGCATGTGGTTAGACATAGCATTTAAGAATACGTATTTGTGTCTCATATAAAATGGCAAGCAGTGTGGCATACAACATATGCGCCTGCGAGTAGACACTTCAGCACATTCTATGTCACTGCCAATCATACTCATCTGAACAACATGCTAAGAGAACCAACATTCACCACCTTGATTCATAACCAGAAAACAAGATCCTGGGAACTTGGTCGACGGTTTCGCATACGCGCAAAGCCACGAAAGCCCTCTTGTGCTTTTTAAGGACAACCGCACTTCACGATCGCTTGTGAAAGAACAGAGCGAGACCATGCTGTGTAGTCTCGAGCTATGTATTCATCCCTTTCTTACCCTTCTTCCTTTCTCTACCTGCTTCCTTTCTATTATTCCCCGTTTCCCCTACCCCAAGAGTAGGGTAGCCAGCCGAGCGAAGCTTTCTTAACCCCCTGCCTTCCCTCTCTATTTCTCTCCCTGTCTCTTGCATTTAGGACGCATATACGTCCCAAGTTGATCCCAGAGAAGAATTGATAATTAGCGGGAATGTGTGTAGCGGGATCTAAAGAGTGTTTTGGAATCGCAAGGTTAGTGGTTTGAATAAATCTCAAAGGATGATTATTGCTCAGTTAAGACAAACTATCGCATATTTCGCTTCATGTCAGCCACTGCTACAGCATCAACTATCGGTCAACCCCGCCTACTCT